GCAGGCCCACACCCATTGGCTACCATCGGGGCTAAAGGGCGAGTGAGTCTTCCTTGAATTGCTGTGCTATTTTTAACCTTCATCGAGCCGGCCCAGCAGTCACGCTCTCTTAAAGCTAATGCTCTTGCAGACAATGATAGCAGGCTCTTGCGGGTTTTGACATGAAGAGACTGAATTCTTCAAAAGCCATGTTTTATAAATGATTGGGTATTTTCCTGGAAGCTGTCTGACCGGGCGAGTTTTACCTGTAACGCTGCAACATCACTACGAGTTCACCTCCTCATTGTATTAACAGGAACCTCAAAAAATTTCAAACACCAGAAAAAGCTCAACAACGGTTGAAACACTCCCCGGAACAGATCCCGAGAACACGTCGTCGCAGTGGCACCAGGCTTACGCATTCCAACGAAGCAGAAAACGGACGCTCGAACAGACAAAGGTGAGTCGATGTATGTGGGTGGGCACGTGTCAAGCGCAAATCATGGATCTATCCGTTTCGCGGCGTTCCAAAGCCAGTGACATCTCAGCGCTCAGAGCAGATGAAGACGTGGAACTATGCACAGTGTAGGTGAATGAACGGCTGCGACTCGATAGCGGATCCGAACCTGTCGGCCCACAGCCTCGTCAGTGTCGGACCGAGAAGCAGCCAGTGCTTACTGTACCGAAACCGTGGCCTAAACCGGGAATGACTGGACGATGGAAATGCTTTTGGTCACGATGGCAAACCAGTCAAACGTTGTGAATCCATCGATGTCCAGGATTGCAAGTGCCGGGCATAGTCGGGCTAGTTTTCAACTTAATCATTTGTATACGTGCGGCGATGCTGCATGAGTGGAGCGTCGTCTCATAGATTTTTGGAGCTGTATTTTTTATTTTTTTCTATATTTTTTTATTTTTTTCTATATTTTTTTATCTATATTTTCTATGACCCTATCCATATGCTGCTATGGCTTGAAATACAAGCAAGCAGTAAAATTGTGCAGCATTTCTCAGAGCATTTTCCCGAGATTTCATCAATTTTTACACATACCCATTCCTATGTTTACCCGTAATGTTCCCGAAATCTATACCCGACCCAACCTGCTAACCATCCCAGATAGCCACCCATAGGTTTACCCAACCTCTGAAATCCTTTACCACTCAACCATTGCATATATAGATCGGATAGAAAGATGGCACTCATTCAACGAGGCAGGTCATAACTGATGCCCGGGGCGTCTGTGCACGACTTCCACTTTTATTCGAACCAAGATAACATAGTTATCACAGGATCATGTCTTCATGTGTGTGACTGTAACCACTGATGGCAGGGGGAATACTGACCCCGTTAAAGGCACCAAAGTCGGGGTTTGTTCTCCAATCCTTGTCTTAAGATGAACGTTTTCTCATATTTACCGAAAACTATAGTTGTGTTCCTTAATTTGTCGCAGATCCCAATCTGCCCCACAATCGCCGGCGTGTTTAGTTAGACCCACGTTTCCGCATTCATCGGAGCGGGAGTACGTCGCTCACCGCCGCCCTAACGCACGAAGCCCCTACACTCCGAGAGGTACCGTCTGCTCGTCCGGAGCACCCGCGGCTCGTCATCCTGAGGTACGTTACGCTCCACGCCGTCTGCACCGCACCCTGTGCACCTGACACTGGGCAACACCGCGCCATGTACGCCCGGGCTCACGGGGTGCAGGCCGCTTCGCGGGCGACGTGCGCTCCCGACCTTGGCTGCCGCAACGGTGGCGCCGCCGCCGGCCGGGCAGCCAAGCTCTCACGCGGCCGGGCTCAGTTGGTGGCTGGTGCCGGACCGGGTCGGGGCGCAGTTCGCGGGTCGCCTGCCAGGTCCTGCTCGTGCTTCCTAGGCGGTGACCTGAGGTCAGGTCAGGGCAACTGGCAGCATGGGCGACGAGGGGAACGTGATGCGCCTGCTCCTGGAGATGATGACGTACCTGGAAGGTAAGCCCCTGCCTCTGTCTTTGTTTGTCACCTGACAAGCATGTAATCAAGCGACCGGAGAAATGGTGAAGCCCATCCCTCCAGTGTAGCCTCCTCGCTACCACGACGCACACCTTCTGCGTTTTCTGAGGTGGTGGCACCGCCGTTCCTCACAGTCGCTGTTTGTCCGCCTCTTCTCGGCCGTACCCCGTGTTGTCCAGGGCTCCAGATCAGCTGGCGTGTCCGTCTGGAGCACCGTTACCCGCGGGAGTCGGCAGGACTGGCTGTGCGGCCACCTCGCCACCAAGAGCCGCCAGGCCGCCGCAGGCCAGTTTTATCTGCGTACTCCGTCGCCGGTGGTCGCCCCCCCCCCCCCCTCTTAGGCGTGCTGGCGTGAGATCCGACGGCCGGTGGGGGAGTGGCGGAGGGGAGGCGGTCGTGACCCGGGTCGAGGCGGACCCGTGCCAGGGTCGCCGTCCGCGGCGGGCCGTGGTACCTCAGGCTGAACCTCGCCCGCGCACGACACAGGAGGCGGGAGAAAGCTGGCCCGGCGCCGGCCACGGGGCTCAGGAATGCGGAGCAGGGAGCTGCGAGCACATGCAGCACAGGCGGTGGGACGGGAGCTGGCGGGACATGCAGCACAGGCTGTGGGGCGGGAGCTGGGAGCACATGCGGTACAGGCGGTGGGCCGGGAGCTGGCAGCTCCCAGCGGGACAGGATTTTTTTTGTACACAGAGTACGGCATAGCCATTATTGACTCAATGCATCACAGCCTCCCCGCCCCCGTCCCCCCCCCCCCTCTTGCAGTCTTTACCCAGCCCTTCCTCATGGGCCAGCGCCATTGGCTGGTCCTCTGGAGTCGGCACCCGAGCTGACACGCTTCCGCGGCTGCAGTGAGGCTGGTGATCGGATGACGAACGGAAGCAAACAGCATACCAGGACTGGCGGGAAGGTTGGGCTCTGCCGTACATTTGGGGACAAATTTGGGTAGGGTTGGGGGCACTTCACCACATAACCCCGCATTTGGGTACTACCTGCTCCTCTTAGACAAGCGCGTGGTTCGTGACTAGGGAGATAGAAAACTTTCCTCCAATAACTCATCAACAAATACAAGGCCGCGTTAATGGGCTTGGCTTTCATTCCAGACAGCGAGCTCAAAATAAACCGCTCCCCGTCGCCGGCGCTAAAGGCAGTGATCGACCGGCTTGAGCGCCGTCCTTGAAGAATAAAACCGAGATACGCCACACGCGAGAAAAGAACTGCTCTTGTCACGCTGCCAGTGCTTTAAACGCGTCCAAACTACATTACTTCTCATAGCACTCCAGTTGTGCACCCCAGCTGTTATCATCTGGGCGGGAGCGAATAACCTCATGTCGCCCTGGGCACCCTGCTGACCTCAGGCTCCCAGAACGTCTCTGCTGAACGGGAGCTGAAAGGTCGGCGAAAGAGTACGGCTCGAGCTCCGATCAGCACGCTGAATATGCCGCCTGAGTTGGAATATTCCAACCGATGAGAACCCGATGTTCCTTCCGAGGCACCTCACCCTCGGCATCTCTCACTGCCCCCCCCCCCCGCGCCCCGCCCCGCCCCACCCCGCCCCGCCTTCGCCTGACCAGCCCAAATGCAGGCTGGTCGCGGATGTGCCGGTCCGGCCGGAGTTCAGCCAGGAACCGGAGGCGGATCTCCGCGGCGGCGGGCGCCGGCCGTCTGCACGGTCCGCGCCGTATACGCCGCGTATCCTGGTGGGGGCTCCCAGCCACTAATTACACCGCCGCACCCCACCCGCCGGCCGCGGCCCGGCGCGGGCGGTGCGGTCGATCTCGGGGCTGGCCGTCCTCTCAGTGCTGTGAAATTCCGGACCGTCTGCCTTAAGCAGTTGCCGACAAACCAATCTCGGGTGTGGGGTGCGTGTTTGTGGAGGCGTGAGGGGTTTTCCTTTCCTTTGGACGCAGGGTGAAGCGTGTTTGTGGAGGCGTGAGGGGTTTTCCTTTCCTTTGGACGCAGGGCAAAGGGGCACCAGGGCAAATTTACGTAGCCATTTACAGATTGATTTACACATTAGTCGACCTGTTGATCTGGTCCACGTCGACGTGAGAAATAAAAGTTAATGAGCAGCGGTGCTGGAAACTGCCCGGCGTATATTCGGAGCAGGAGCTGGGCGCAGCGAGGCTACCATATGCCATGAGAGCCGCTGTCGTCTCGCAGCGGGCCAGCTTTCACCGCGCATGCGGTGGATCATCGGCCGCCGAGACAGAACCTGTCTCTGACCACGAGCCCAGGGGAGCGGCGGCGTGATGTCGCACACGTACGCCGGGGTCACTGGGTGCAGTCGGCTCACGCGGCGGACTGCCCGGTGCGGTCGGCTCACGCGGCAGACTGCGTGGTGCAGTCGCCTTACGCCGGGGGCCGCCTGGTGCAGTCGCCTTACGCCGGGGGCTGCCCGGTGCAGTCGCCTTACGCCGGGGGCCACCCGGTGCAGTCGTTCCACGCCGCGTCCCACGCTGGCCTTGGTGCCTTTGGCTTTTAAGATGTCATGTTCAACTGGCTTCTGGTAGTGGGGGAAGGGGCTGTGTGGTGCACAAGGCGCAGGATTAAGCTGATTTGTATGGGAAGATCTTCCTTGCTGTCACCATCAGCGGCCCTTGGCTGCAAGACTGTGATGGGGCTGGGAACTGGCTCCTCACCACAACGCTTGTGCTTCCACACATGGCTTATAATTGGTTCAGACAGCTTGTCAGGTTTTTGAAGCTATCGTACCATTGTGGGTTACGCTATCGCATTCAAATCGGCAATGATTCAGCATATAGTTCTTCAACACCGAGCCCTCCCAAAACGAAGAAAGTGCACTCCCCTCAAAACGATGTGATGTGACAACACTTGAATCTCAGACGAAAAAGGCAGGCCGCAGTGCAAAAATAGCCGCGTCGGACTTGAGGACGTCTTCCCCGGCTTTTGAGACAGATATCACTCGAAAAGTTCTAGCCAGACAGCTGGCTTGTATCCCACGTGTTGTCGCGGGCCGCATGCGCGCCTGTCGTATGGCTTCAGTGTCTGGTCCCGGCGGCGCTCCCGTCACGGCTCACGGTCATCCCACTCGGCTTCAGCCACTCCTCATCTGAGGGCCGTCACCGCTGGTCCCCAGTGTTATCTCAGCCGGCCCGTGGGCGCTGTCCCTGCAGGTCCGGCGCTGGGCTTTAGGGGTGCGTCAAATGCGATGATTATTTGCGCCTAGGGTGACCCGTTCGGCTGGAGCCTGCCCTCCAGTCCGGAAGGCTGAAGGCCTTCCAGGCCTCCAGTCCAGAAGGCGGCCACCCCACGGGGCGGACGCCTTCGAGCGGAGCCGGTGTGCCGTGGCGCCCCCGGGCCCTGCTGCGGGGGGCCGCGTGTGAGCGCGCGGCCGGCGCGACCCGTACGGACCGGAGAGCGGCCGCCGGCGCCGCCAGCCGTGACCGCCGACACCTGCAGCCGCCGGAAGTGGCCGCTTCCGGCGAGCTCTCGCTGCTGGTCGACGGCCGCCCATGCACGGTCCCCATGACGCAACGGTCCGCTGTGGGCGCGCTTCGGCGCGTGGTGCTAACCAGGGTGCAATTTGATGCCGACAGGTGTTCGGTGGTGAGTGGGGTAGGAAATGCATGCGCTACCAAGACATGCCAGGGGTGCTTTCTTTACATTCTTAAAGCATGAACGATGTTGCGTGTCGAGCTGGTTCTTCAATGGAGGTTTGCGACCGATCACAGACAGTTGCGTGCAAGTAGCGGTCGTCCTCCGCATCCGCCGGTTGTCGGGCCCCGCCGTCGACCGTGCTGCCGACCGTGGCAGTTTTTCGGCTGCTCAACAGGCTCGTTTCTGTGTGCTCTTCGGCCGGCGGCTGTCCAGCTGTCTTCAGCTGGCTGGCCGAATGATGACGTCACGGGTGGCTGGGGAGCTGGGCCCGGACGCCGCGCCCCGCCTCCCCTGCCTCCCCCGCCTCCCCCGTCTTCACCGTGCGAACCTGGACGGCCGGCGGACGCGGCGAAGCGGCCGATTCGGGGCGGGTCGCGGCAGCTCGGGCGCCCCCATTCTCACGGGCTGTTCGCCGCCGTGCCGCCATTTCAGTCCTCGTCGATCCGAATTCAAACTGGTCCCCCATGGTTCAGCTGTGAGTTCTGGGGCTGAATTTCGTAGAGAGCTCTCCCCACCGACCGTCTACCGATTTTGGGGAGATGCTGACCCTGAGTGCTACTGTAGTGCACCACTAAAGACGGCCATGCTCCCTGCTGACTTACTGCCTTCCTTGGGCTGAACTCATAAATAGTACATACGCTCTGGAAAGACTTTGATGAATGTCCCTTGAAGGTGGGAGAGCAAGAACGAATTCCGGCTAATTTGGAGTCTGGTGATGATCAAACATCTATGAACTTGAAATAGACTGGAATTTACTGTGACCGATAAATCTATCGGATGTTTTATGGACGATATTACGGACGATATGGACGATACTAAATAACATACCATATGGACAATGCCATATGGATATATAATACGATACCATATGGACGATACTAGATAAAAAGATCCGTTGTCTTTAGCAGACTGTGATCTTGAGCCACACAAGTGTTGCTACCGATTACAGCACAGATGCTGGAAGAGATTGCTGCAATACACCCGCAAACATTTCCAGCCGACGGTTGGGACAGTTGGGCACAAAAACATCTACCAGCGGGTGAATTTTGAGTGTTGGGGAAGGTGAAGCAAGCATGAACATCGAATCCCACCATGCCGCGTTACACCGTCAGCCGGCCTGGGTTTAAAAGGGCATGTTGAACCTCCTGACAGCGTCGGACGCCGCACGCCACGCCGCAGATGAGTGAACCTGCAGTGCTCTTACACTGACATTTAGCAAAGGCCAACCGAAGGTTATTATTAGACTTTGACAGAAACAAGGCAGCACCTAGCAGGGACCATGCCACTGCTTTCGCGGTGTATCGCAGCGCATAACTAGAGCGAAAATGGACGCCAAAGCTTTCTCAATCAAGCTGGTA